AGAGTGAGTACACTGCCTCGGGCCCCTGCTCTGCCCTCGCACGCCATCGCCATCGCTTCAGCTGACCCCAAGCCCCAACTCCTCCACCCTAACCTCAGCAAGGGAAATGTAAAGCCAGGAAATACCAGGCCCTTCTCCCTCCAGTTAAACGCCACCGCCCCAGCAGAGGCTGGGATGTGGGTGCCAGGACACCAGTACGCCACTGGTTTCTACTGGCGGGAGGAAAAGGTCCCCAAGAGGAGGTAACAAATGGGAGAAGTGCTGGAGGAAAATCTCCTCTGCAGCACAGGGGAGGGGGAGAGAGAGGAAAAGTAACGGCAGAGGCAGATGGGAGAAGCACCAAAGCCGAGGGGAGCAGGTGGACGGAGCGATGGGATGCGCTCACCGGGGCAGAAAGCTGGATCGCACCGCAGCGTGTAACCGGTGCTTCGTCGCAGAGGTGTCCCAGGCAGCTAACGTCCCGTTTCCTCCCCAAGTTGTGAAGCCCAGTGGTGTGCACCTGAAGCTGGTCCTCCGGTTCCAGGATTTTGGGAAAGCCATGTTCAAACCCATGAGGTAAGGCACGCTTGCAGAGCCCCCCCCGTCGAAACCCCCCGCGTAGCCACGGACCAAGGAGCCCCGCAGCAAGGGGTGCGAGCATCCTTGGCAAGGACAGGCACACCGCAGCCGCGTCTTTCCTCTCCTGCGCTCAGCTACCTCAACAGCTGAAAAGGTTTAATTATTATTGGCTGCTCGCACCGTCCCAGAGACACACGCGGATAAACACCGGCGTTCCCACACTGCTTATTGACATTGGAAATGTCTCAGTTCATAGATGTCAGACAGCAGAGGACCTTGTTAGGGATTGCCCATTTCTTCCTCTTCCCCTGCTGACTTTGTGTTTTACCTCGTTTCTCCTTGGATTCCCCAGAGTGTTTACAAGAAACAGCCATCAGTCCCGGTCACCTCAAAAAGGAGTTTTAAATTGCTTCTGCATTTATTTCTAGCCCCTTGGGACTCTTCACATTTATTCCCCCTCACTGTACTTTCCGTGCACAGGCAGGGCAGCTGGCAGCAACACCGCCTGCGATGGTTGGCTCCTCCAGAAAGCAGCCAGCTCCTCTCCCGTTGGTTTCCAGCCACCTCTGCCCAGTGTCCGGCGGGTCCGGGAGGGGAAGGAAAGCGTCTGTGCACTCAGCTGAGCCAGGAGGGTTCAGCAATGCCTGGGGGCTTTCCTGCGATATACAACTGCCTGGGAGGCCGAGCGTGCAAATTCACATGCTACACGTACCGGGGCACTGTGAGACAGCCAGAAAATGGAATTAAACAAGCTGGCGTTCCCATCTCGGGGATATGAGAGCATCAAACCTGAGCTCTTCTCTGCCTCCCACAGGGACGTGAGAAGTGCAGCACGGCCTTTAGCACCCCCGATGTTATACCCACCCGAAACGCTGTCCTCAGCGGGTCTCAACTCTGCACAAAAGGTTTTAAACCCAAGTCAGCCCTTCTGCCTCCCTCACCCACCCGGCACCGAGACAGGGCACAAGTGCTGCTCCCTGGCACGGCAGGTTGGTCCCGGCTCAGCCCCGTGCACGTTGGGTCCCGGCCTGGGCACCAGGCGCCGCAGCTCTGCCTGGCAGCCCTGGCACCAGCCTGGGCACACGACGATGCTGTCCCCGAGCGCACCATCCTTGTGCCAGCGCTTAGTGTCCAGGCTGCCTGCCAGCTGCCCGCACTGGTACCTGCCCGCGCTGCTCTGCTCGCTTAGGTTAACCCCCTCGCTCCCTCCCAGGCAGAAGCGCGAGGAAGAGACTCCCGAGGACTTTTTCTACTTCGTTGACTTCCAGCGGCACAACGCGGAGATCGCCGCCTTCCACCTGGACAGGTAGGGGCCTGCCTCCTCCAGCTGCCCGGTCCTCTGCCCACGGAGAGCTCTTGGCCCTGCGGAGCTGCTCAGCCTCAGAGAAGCGATTGCTTTGCGGCACCCTTTTGGGAGCTGATGTGTTATTTGGGGATGGGGAGGCTCCGGCTCTCATCTGAAGCCCAGGAGTCAGCTTTGCCTTGGCCGCTGCATGAGAACAGGCTGGCAGATGAAGTCCGGGTTGGGAAGGGGTCAGTTATTTGTCACACGGCTGCACGCACGTCATCCCTGCCGTGCAACAAAGTGCAAAGCTGAGCTCTGGGCACAGCCTGGAGCCCTCCCGGGGAGACAGTCGCACGCTCAATCAGCAATCAAGGCGTGTTTTGGGTTGAGATAAACTGCAGCGATGCAGTTTCAAGCCCTCAGCTAATGAGCAATTAACCTGGCACCTCTTCCCAGCAGGCTTTGTATTTAATGAAATCAAAAATACCCTTCTTAGAAGAGGAGGGCGGCAGCCTTCTTCCCCTCGATGGGATGAGTATCGAACATCAAGGGAAGTGGTCCCTGATGATGATGGTGGATGGGGTCTCCAGTTCCCATGCCCAATTTATATGATAAGCAGGACTAGACTGTAAGTCCTGCAGCTCAAACTCTGAGCGAGGGAAAGAAGAGAGCTGAATTCCCTTTCCAGCTCTGCCCCTACATCACTGCAGTGACTCTGATTGACTCACTATCAGCTTCCCAGTTTCACCACCAGAAAAATGAGGCTGGACTGCTTTTCTGAAGTGCTTTGTGGTTTTTAGAACTGAAAGATCTAGATGAAAGCAAGTTTGTTTGGTTTTTTTCTTTAGACATTGCTCAATAAGTAACAGGCTAAACCCTGTTTTGTGCCTGATTTTCAGAAACAGAGGGCATTACCCAAGGAGCAAAGCACAGCATTAGCTGGTTCACCCCGTGTTACTGACTCAGCAATCAGCAGCAACTTTCCATTTACCAACATGAATGCCTTTCTGCCCCAGGCCCTGATTTTTTTTTTTTTATTTTTTTTTAAAGAATATTTGAGATGAATCAGCTGGGCATGAGTGCCTGCGAGTGGGGGTGATCCCTCCTCTCCTCTTGCTGCCTCAGCTGTGGTGTACCAGGTTCAACACATCTGTTCTCCCTGTCAAACCCAACAGCACAGAAAGTCCACCTCCCAAAGGGCCCAGCTTGCGTGCAAGGGGATGGGAGAAACCGGTGAGGGAAAAGACTTGAATCCTGGAGAACATCTAGGTTGTTCCAGGCAGCATCTATTAAAATACAAAAATCTGAACTCAGCTGTATTTTGGTCCAGAGGGTAAAGTGATCCTGGCTATTTGCTAGAAAGAAGGTGGGAGAAAAACAATCCATGTGGGTGCAGTCACCAAAAGGCCCCTGGTTTACCAACGGAAGGGACGAGGACAGCATCTGCCATCCCACATTGCCGTCCTGTGCAATAACATCCCTTTGCCCTGAGCGGCTGTCCCTTTCGTGCAGGATCCTGGATTTCCGGAGGGTGCCGCCCACAGTTGGGAGGTTGATCAATGTCACCAAGGAGATCCTGGAGGTCACTAAGAACGAGATCCTGCAGAGCGTCTTTTTTGTCTCGCCAGGTAGGAGAGCACTTGGCTGCCACAAGCTGGGATTGGACATGCTGGTCCACGGTGGGTGGAAGGGCAGGGTCTGCACGCAAAAAGGGCCGGCAGGACTTGTGCCGTTGAACAGAAATTAAATTCTTGCGTGAAACATACACAAAAACATGGTTGCAGTAGAGGTAGCTCTACTGTACAGCTGCAATCATCTGCCAGATCTACTCGCCTGCCCAATTTTCCCCAACCTTTCCCTTAGCATGGGACCAGGTCTGTCCATCAACCTAAATCCAGGTATTGTCCACGATTTGGCAGTTTCACATCCGTGATGCGGTTACATACACCACAACATACTCGGTCACTGTCACACAATGGAGAAGAGGTCAGTCCAGGTTACCTTGCAGTCTCCTGCAGATCATAGCTCCTTTCCCCATTCTCTCTTCTCCTTCCAGCCAGCAACGTTTGCTTCTTTGCCAAGTGCCCGTACATGTGCAAGACGGAGTATGCGGTGTGTGGGAACCCTCACCTCCTGGAAGGGTCCCTCTCTGCCTTCCTGCCATCCCTCAACCTGGCGCCACGACTCTCCATCCCAAACCCATGGATCCGGTCCTACTCATTTGATGGAAAAGAGGAGTAAGTGGGTAAATGATGCTGCTTCCCCTATCTGCGGTGCAGGGAGCGCGTGGGAAGGAGAATGAGCAGTGTACAGACATATGTACAGAAGTTGTACGTCCAGGCAGAGGAAGGCCAAGGTTCAGAGACTGCCTGTAATTAGTGTAATAATTCTTATGCCTGCGCCATCGACTGGGTTTGACTTCAAGTCTCCTGCGTGTGCAAGGAGGGAGATTTAAGTCCTCCTCCTCTCCATCTCCGCACGGGAGACCGGCTTTGGGGTGCTGTTGGGACACGGCAGCGGCAACCACTGAGCACACCTGCCCCTTCTCCATCTCCTGCAGGTGGGAAGTGAATCCACTCTACTGTGACACGGTGCGGGAGATCTACCCCTACAGCAACGGCAACCGGCTGCTTAACATCGTTGACATGGCCGTATTTGACTTCCTGATAGGTATGATGAAGGGAGAAATAATATTCCTTCCTTCAGCATCCGTCTGCCTGCCCTCCCACGCCACGGTGTTTCTCAAAGCCATCCCTTCTGCTCCAGAGACGGTTTTGGGAGACTGCTGCCTCCCCCCAGCCAGCCAGCCCACCCCCTCCTGAAAAAAACCCAGGCCCACCCCAGCCCACTCCCCGGGGGTCACGCAAGATGAAGGCAGCAGCTCTGAGCATCTTAGACACTTCCAGCATGGCAACAAGTATTTTGTGCAGATCTGAGAGAAAACATAGAATAGTTTAGAAAATTACTTGGTGGCATGCAAGGGAAACGCTGTTCCTCTGTCTGCCCTTTACCAGGGAACATGGACCGTCACCACTATGAAATGTTCACCAAGTTTGGGGACGACGGCTTCCTCTTACATCTGGACAACGCCAGAGGGTGAGGCTGTGGGAGGACATTGGGG